CAACAGTGTCCTTGATTTCCTTTTTCTTGGCTATGATGGAAGATATGGTTGTACAGGATTTGTTATACATCCTGGCCAGTTCGGCCACACTTGTACCACTATCATATTGTTCAATGATTTTTTCTTAAATTCAGTCGTATTTCTCACCTTCTTTACCAAAGGCTTGGCACTAGGAGCTTTCTTTGGAGCCATGGTAGCTTATTTAGCACTTGCAAGCACTAAAATCAATGGAATATTATGAAATATTTCGTATGAGCAAGTGAGGGGACCGTTGCTCACTTGTAAACAATGGCACACTGGCTGGGAAGGGAGGCCGAGGCGGCTCAGAGCGTGAGTACGCGTCCCGGACGAAGGACGATTAGCGAGTTAACGGACCATTTGCGAGCCAATGTTTAGATTAAATAATGGGACTATTTCCGAAATGGACGACTTTCACGCCGGACAATTATTGAGGGACCACTGTATTGGCAGAAAGGTGGGCTAGTGCAAAGATGAGTAGTGGGGGGGTTGAAGAGGGTTGGAATGGTTTTAAAAATGCAGTATTAGAATGTGGGGCAGAAGTTTGTGGTTATAGGAGGGTGGGTGCAGGAGGAAAGAGGAGTGATTGGTGGAATGATGAAGTAAAGGGTGTGATAAAAGAGAAAAAGGTAGCTTATGAGAGGTGTTTACAAAGAAGTGTTATAAGAAGAGTGGAGTATATGGAGAGTAAAAGAAGAGAGTGGTGAGAGAGTGCAAAAGAAGAGTGGATGATAGTGGGAGAGGCACTGTCAAGAAATTTTAATGAAAATTAGAAAAAAATTTGGAGTGAGTTAAACAAGTTAAGAAAGCCTAGGAAATGAATGGATTTGTCATTTAAAATCAGAGTAGGGGAGTTAGTAGATGGGGAGATGGAGGTATTAGGTAGATGGCAAGAATATTTTGAGGAACTTTTAAATGTCGACGAAGAAAGGGAGGCAGTAATTTCATGCCCTGGCCAGGGAGGTATACCATCTTTTAGGAGTGAAGAAGAGCAGGATGTGAGTGTGGGGGAGGTGCGTGAGGCATTACATAGAATGAAAGGGGGTAAAGCAGCTGGAACTGACGGGATTATGACAGAAATGTTAAAAGCAGGGGGGGATATAGTGTTCGAGTGGTTGGTGTTTTTGTTTAATAAATATATGAAAGAGGGGAAGGTGCCTAGGGATTGGCAGAGAGCATGTATAGTCCCTTTATATAAAGGGAAAGGTGACAAAGGAGATTGTAAAAATTATAGAGGAATAAGTTTACTGAGTATACCAGGAAAAGTGTACGGTAGGGTTATTATTGAAAGAATTAGAGGTAAGACAGAATGTAGAATTGTGGATGAGCAAGGAGGTTTTAGAGTGGGTAGGGGATGTGTAGATCAAGTGTTTACATTGAAGCATATATTAGAACAGTATTTACATAAAGGTAGGGAAGTTTTTATTGCATTTATGGATTTAGAAAAGGCACATGTTAGAGTGGATAGGGGAGCAATGTGGCACATGCTACGAGTACAGTGGACCCCCGACATTCGATAAATCCGACATTCGATGCATTTTAATGCAAAAATTTCGCCTCGACATTCAGTGGAAAACCCAACATTCGATACGATTCGTACGAGACGTGTCCACGTGTGGCTTGAACTGCCCCATGTGTGCCAGTGTTTACAAGCCAGCCAGTGTGCGCGCATCTAAGGATACATTCGGTACATTCCATATGATCACTGTTTTTGGTGCTTGTTTCTGCAAAATAAGTAACCATGGGCCCCAAGAAAGCTTCTAGTGCCAACCCTTCGAGAAAAAAGGTGCTAATGACTATTGAAATGAAGAAAGAGATAATTGCAAAGTAGGAAAGTGGAGTGCGTGTGTCGGAGTGCATGATGATTTGGTAAAGAAATTTCTTGCAACTAGTGGTGATGTGAGTGAAGTTAAGGCCAGCAAAGGTTGGTTTGAAAGATGTGTAGTGGCATACACAGTGTGGTAAGGCATGGTGAGGCTGCCAGTTCAAGTCCTAATGGAAGGGGATTCCACTTCTAAACACTAACATCATCCACACTCTTCCCTCCTCCCATCCCATCAATCATCACCAGATCTTCATTAAAGGTAAGTGTCAATTATTCTATTGTTATTAATCTATTGTTATTGTTGTTTTTGTAATTATTCTATTGCATTAAACTTAATATTTCATGTGGTAAAATTTTTTTTTCATACTTTTGGGTGTCTTGCACGGATTAATTTGATTTCCATTATTTCTTGTGGGGAAAATTAATTCGACTTTCGATAGCTCTCAGGAACGGATTAGTATCGAATGTCGAGGGTCCACTGTATATGGAATAGGTGGTAAGTTACTAAATGCTGTAAAGAGTTTTTATGAGGATAGTGAGGCTCAGGTTAGGGTGTGTAGAAGAGAGGGAGACTACTTCCCAGTAAAAGTAGGTCTTAGACAGGGATGTGTAATGTCACCATGGTTGTTTAATATATTTATAGATGGGGTTGTAAAAGAAGTAAATGCTAGGGTGTTCACGAGAGGGGTGGGATTAAATTATGGGGAATCAAATACAAATTGGGAAGTGACGCAGTTGCTTTTTTGCTGATAATACTGTGCTTATGGGAGATTCTGAAGAAAAATTGCAAAAGTTAGTGGACGAATTTGGGAGTGTGTGTAAAGGTAGAAAGTTGAAAGTGAACATAGAAAAGAGTAAGGCAATGAGGGTATCAAATGATTTAGATGAGGAAAAACTGGATATCAAATTGGAGAGGAGTAGTATGGAAGAAGTGAATGTTTTCAGATATTTGGGAGTTGATGTGTCAGCGGATGGATTTATGAAGGATGAGGTTAATCATAGAATTGATGAAGGCAAAAAGGTGAGTGGTGCATTGAGGTATATGTGGAGACAAAAAAAAAAATGATTTCTTTTCTTCTTTCAACACACCAGCCATATCCCACTGAGGTGGGGTGGCCCAAAAGGATTAACGAAAGTTTCTCCTTTTAAATTTAGTGATATATAAAGGAGAAGGGGTTACTAGCCCCTTGCTCCTGGCATTTTAATCGCCTCTTACGACACGCATGGCTTACGGAGGAAGAGTTCTGTTCCACTTCCCCATGGAAATAAGAGGAAATAAACAAGAACAAGAACTAGAAAGAAAATAAAAGAAAACCCAGAGGGGTATGTATATACAGTGGACCCCCGCTTAACGATCACCTCCAAATGCGACCAATTATGTAAGTGTATTTATGTAAGTGCGTTTGTACGTGTATGTTTGGGGGTCTGAAATGGACTAATCTACTTCACAATATTCCTTATGGGAAAAAATTCGGTCAGTACTGGCACCTGAACATACTACTGGAATGAAAAAAGTTCGTTAACCGGGGGTCCACTGTATATGCTTGTACATGTATGTGTAGTGTGACCTAAGTGTAAGTAGAAGTAGCAAGATGTACCTGAAATCTTGCATGTTTATGAGACAGAAAAAGGGACACCAGCAATCCTACCATCATGTAAAACAATTACAGGCTTTTGTTTTACACTCGGCAGGACGGTAGTACCTCCCTGGGCAGTTGCTGTCTACCAACCTACTACCTAGAAAAAATTATTATTATTATTATTATTATTATTAGCAGTAGCAACAGCAGAAATGTTCAATACTTTGCCATGTTCAAGAGTAAACAAATAATGCCACTGTCCAATACCTGTCTGAATGGCCATTCCAATATGCAGTCATGAATACAGTGGACCCCCGCATAACGATGGCATCGCATAGCGATTTTTCCGCATAACGATTACTTTTATCGCAAAATTTTTGCCCCGCATACCGATTAAAAACCCGCATACCGATTTTCGTCCAAGACGCGTCCAATGTGCCCTCACATGTGCCGGCCGTCCCATTGTTTACCAGCCAGCCTCCACGGTAACATCCAAGCATACACTCGGAATATTTCGTATTATTACAGTGTTTTCGGTGGTGTTTCTGGAAAATAAGTGACCATGGGCCCCAAGAAAGCTTCTAGTGCCAACCCTGTGGTAAAAAGGGTGAGAATTAGTATGGAAATTAAGAAAGATTTTGAAGGGTTTGGGGCTAACCCTGAGAAGCCTATGCCAGTTGTGGAATCCATTGTGCCTACTTCAAAGATTAAGGAAATGTGTGCAGAGTGGTTTGAACTGCAAACCTTTATAGATGAAAATCACCCTGACACAGCTGTTGCAAAGCCGTGCTTGTGACTATTTCAATGACAATGTTATGGCCCATTTTAGGAAAGTCTTGAAGAAACGGGAGGTACAGAGCTCTATGGACAGATTTGTTGTGCGACAGAGGTCCAGTGACTCTGAAGCTGGTCCTAGTGGCATTAAAAGAAGAAGGGAAGTAACCCCAGAAAAGGACTTGCTACCTCAAGTCCTAATGGAAGGGGATTCCCCTTCTAAACAGTAAGAAGATAATGCTCTCCCCTCCTCCCATCCCATCAATCATCACCAGATCTTCAATAAAAGTAAGTGTCATGTAATTGTGCATGCCTTTTTCAGTTTGTGTGTATTAAAATTAACATTTCATGTGGTAAAAAAAATTTTTTTTCATACTTTTGGGCGTCTTGCACGGATTAATTTTATTTCCATTATTTCTTATGGGGAAAATTAATTCGCATAACGATTATTTCGCATAACGATGAGCCCTCTTGCACGGATTAAAATCGTTAACCGGGGGTCCACTGTATATGGAGTAACTGCATGGCATGACAAGTCAAGTGTGTGGATTCTAAGTCTTCACTAGCTGGAGAATGACTTGAGTGAATGGCAGGTGGGCTGGCTGCCTATTGCGGGGGTCGGAGGGAGGGTAGTAGGGATGCGCGGGTGGCGGGAAACTTAAATATGATTTTGCGGCTGGGAATTCGCGAATGTGTGAAGCCCGCGAAAGTTGAAAATGCGAATGTTGAGGGAGACCTGTAGTGTAATAAAAAGGATTAATGCAAATGGTCTGATTTTGTCATTTATCTTGTCAACTTTCCAGTGTGATAATGATGGAGAAATTGAGTATGAATTCCCATGCTTCAATCAAGTTGAAACTCTTGATGGACTATGGGAAAAGGTTGATCCACGCTACACAGATGGTGTATATGGTGGTGTAAGGTTACGATCTCCTGCACCAACACAGTATATTTTGCCTCCAATTTATATTCGCTTGCAGGTTTGTTCATATAAGAAATACTTTTCAAAAATTATACATCTCTAATGAATTATCATATATTTAACATAGTTTAGGTAAAGCAATTGTTGTAGAAATAATATTTAAAGGTTAAGATTTTTACTTCTTGTGTACTTTAGTGTTTTGGATGCATTTTCATATTCTCAGTCAATTTTTTATTACTTTTATTGCTATAAGTTTGTTAACCCTTTCAGGGTTTCGACCGTACTAGTACGGCTTACAACCCAGGGTCCATGACGTACTAGTACTCATAAATTCTAGCGCCTTCAAATCTGGTGAGAGAAAGCTGGTAGGCCTACATATGAAAGAATGGTTCTATGTAGTCAGTGTGCGCAGTATAAAAGAAATCCTGCAGCACACAGTGCGTAATGAGAAAAAAAAACTTTGACCGTGTTTTTGGATTAAAACAGCGACTTTGCACTGTATTTTCATATGGTATTTATTGTTGTATTCTAGTTTTCCTGGTCTCATTGTATAGAATGGAAGACATATTACAGAAATTGAGATGATTTTGACTGGTTTTACAATGAAAAGTACCTTGAAATTGAGCTCAAATTAGCAGAAATGTTAAGTTTTTACCAAAGTTCAAAAGTAAACAAATCATGCTAAGCATCCAATACATGTCAGCTGGTGAGTCTGATATTCTTTCACAAGTGCGCCGATATTATTTATACCATTTCTACACTAATGCAGTAGTCTGAATAACAGTAAATCTTCTATTTTTTGTGAGAATAAAAATTCAAAGTGGAAAGCAAAAGAAATGTAAGAGGGGCCTGGGGACGTGACTAATGAACAGAGGAAATGTTATTTTATTGCCAGGAATGTCTTTCTTGTTTATTCTGGACCCTGTTTGGAAATTGGCATCTTTTGAAATTTGTGTGAAATTGGCAAAATTGCTAAATTCTGACCACTGTAGTGGATAGTTGAAATCGGTAAATTGATGTTTTCTTGTACTCATTCGATAGAAAAAATGGAGTTCTAGCGAAATAGTTATGATTTTTGTCGACTAGTACATTGGAATTAGCCGAAAATAGGGCTGAAAGTGGGCAAAATCGCCGATGCATGAGCATCATCGAGACCGTTAACTTCACAAGAGCATAATTCCATAAGTTTTCCATCAAATTTCATACTTTTGGTGTCATTATGATCGGGAAAAGATTCTCTAACATTATAAGAAAAAAATATTTTTTTTTCTTTTTTGAAATTTGGGGGACCCTGAGAACAAGTTTCTGAGAGGGCCTGTGGACCCTGAAAGGGTTAAAGACCTGCATGTGTTAAACAGTTATTTTATCTCAGTTATGCTTAACCCTTCTCACTGTCCAGACCCCCCTGAAACTAATATTGCTCTGTGTCCACTGTAAAAAAAAAAAAAATTCTGAAATGGTAAACAATTATTTTCTAAAGGTTATGACACCAAAAATATGAAAGTTGACTGAAGACTTATGGAATTATGCAGGTGCAAAGTTAGCTTCTCTATTGACCAAATTCTTAGCTATTTCACTGGTATCCTATCTGTTCTATTGACTGAGCACAAGAAACTGCCCATTCATCTATTTAAGCTACCCTATAAAGTGTCCAGAAGTCAGTAATTTGGCCAATTTTTCACAAAATTAAAAAAAATTCCATTTTAAAAATCTAGTCCAAAATAAACAATGTAGACAACCCAGGCACTTAAAGAACTTTTTTTTTTTTTTTTTCATTAATCGTGTCCCCCAGACCTCTCCTGTATTACATTTTCCTTCCACAAAAAAAAATAGATTTACCTTATTTCTCAGATAATAAAATATAACCATGAATGTTTGGTCATGGTTTACAGCATCCTAATAATTAATTTAATCAGGCCTATTAAAAGCCATCCCCATCAAAAACAGGCCAGGGGGTTAAGGGGAGCTTTACCCATCCTAATTTCAAGCTACTTCCAGTCTTGAAACCAACTAAAATTATCTTCATTTTAATAGTATGACTTCCATTCTATCAGTTGATACTGAGACAGCCAATAAAACCATATGAGAAAACACCTCAGAGTTGCTGTTTTAAACCAAACACAAGGATGGAGTTTTGCTTTTCCCATTGTGCTTCATGTGGAGCAGGATTTATTTTTATACTATGCACCCTCACCACACAGACTCATTCACTCATATCTAGGCCAAAATTTACTACTCACAGTTTATTTGAGTGAGCTGAGCTCATGATGTAGATCTACATGAGGGACCCTGGCACCACTTACTTAGTTCTATGTGATGGTCACTCAAAGGGTTAATATACTTTTTTATTTAAAGGTTCAGCTTAGAAGATCTTGGCAAGAATACCCTGAGAGGGATACTGATTTATACCAGTGGTGTAGTGGCTCCAAGTTCTGCTCGGGCCCTTTGGAAGCTCTTCTTACTCTAGAGGAGGGAGGTGAAGCTATTGAATTGAAAGTTCGGGGACCACCAGAGTCGGGACCTGTAGCCTTCTTTTTCATGGAAGATCTTTTAGCCATGATTGATCAGGTAAACTATAACATTAATATATATTCTTGTTTCATTCTTTCAGCACTCAAGACTACGTTTAATCAAAGCAATCTTATGAAAAGCTTATATGATAATACAGTAAGCCTCTTAAATTTTCACATTGTAAAATTTTGTTGCAGCACAATTATAAAATGCAACAAAAATTTTGTTAGCAGACAAAAATCTTCATATTAAATTCCACCAGGGATGAAAGAATTGGATAACATACACTACAGTATTTTTGTACTGTCTGCTTTAGGTTTCTATAGCATCAAATGTAAAATCTGGGTACTAATAGCTGTGATATTTTTCCATTCCAACCCAAATTGGGCCTAAGGGTGGCGAATGTTTGCAGAAGCACAGCTCTACCAATTGTCCCACTGACACCAGTTCCATTAACAGTTGCTTTTGTGGAACATTGCCTACCTTGTCCACTTTGTGTTTAACAGATGATTATAGTGTGTTTCATTATTGCTGTCTTCAATCTTGGATATTAATCAAGGCACCCAAGTTGTTGGAGGTGGCCAGAAAATGAATAAGTATGAATCTATAACACTGAAGTAATGGACAAATGCTCTAAGACTGGCATGCCAGAGTGCTAGTATAAATTAAACATTGCAGATGAACTGAATCATGCAAAGGTGTCATAGGATGAAGTGCCTCGGTCAGCTATAAGTGCAAGTATAGGTCATCACCAATGGTGATTTAATTTTTCTGATTTCCCTCAGTAAGAAGTAAGTTCAGGAAATTGTAGCAAGTACTGAGAGCTGATGGCTTTTAAAACATGCATATAGAAGTTGTAAATGAACTGTTAGAAGAAAATGATGAGGAGCCAAAGGCAGAAAAATTTCTGGAGGGGCTCAGTTCCCAGTTAGAAGAGAGGCAGACACCGGAAGAGGATGAGGAAGAACTTAAAGATAAATAGTAAATGCTGCAAGAAGTTAGGTGAGCAATTCCATGTTATTGCTAAAGCTGCAATTTTTTCACTGTAAAGGATCTTTACAAGGCAAAAAGCACTAGTGTGAAGGAGATTCTGGAGCAAGCAATGATGACTTATCAACTCTACCAATTATAGCCCAGAGATGCATTACAAACTACATGAGTACTCATAATACACCCCTTAACTACTGATAACTCTGCATCCACATTAACACAAGATCCACAGTCATCAACCTCAGTCTGGTAGGTCCACATCAAGCTTCTCCACACTTCATATTCAACAAGTATGCACTATCAAAAAGTAAGTTATAATACTGTAATTTTTAACTACTACAGTAGTAAAAGAAAAAAGTGTTTGGCAAATTTGGGTGTGAAACAGCTCTGCTTTTCTCATCTGTTCCTTACTTCACACCCCTCAAAGGAGCATCCTTGAGGTTCTTCAGTTTAGCAAGAATGGTTCTGAGGGGCATATTCTGATTCATTTGAATTTTCCATTTTTTTCTGTAAGTAGTCAGCATTTTTTCCCCTCATTTTTTAAACAATAATTCAAAAAAGAGGAGGCAGTTAGGGTAAGATATAAACAGCTATTGGAGGATAGATGGGCAAATGAGAGCATAGGCAATGGGGTCGAAGAGGTATGGGGTAGGTTTAAAAATGTAGTGTTAGAGTGTTCAGCAGAAGTTTGTGGTTACAGGAAAGTGGGTGCGGGAGGGAAGAGGAGCGATTGGTGGAATGATGATGTAAAGAGAGTAGTAAGGGAGAAAAAGTTAGCATATGAGAAGTTTTTACAAAGTAGAAGTGATGCAAGGAGGGAAGAGTATATGGAGAAAAAGAGAGAGGTTAAGAGAGTGGTGAAGCAATGTAAAAAGAGAGCAAATGAGAGAGTGGGTGAGATGTTATCAACAAATTTTGTTGAAAATAAAAAAAAGTTTTGGAGTGAGATTAACAAGTTAAGGAAGCCTAGAGAACAAATGGATTTGTCAGTTAAAAATAGGAGAGGAGAGTTATTAAATGGAGAGTTAGAGGTATTGGGAAGATGGAGGGAATATTTTGAGGAATTGTTAAATGTTGATGAAGATAGGGAAGCTGTGATTTCGTGTATAGGGCAAGGAGGAATAACATCTTGCAGGAGTGAGGAAGAGCCAGTTGTGAGTGTGGAGGAAGTTCGTGAGGCAGTAGGTAAAATGAAAGGGGTAAGGCAGCCGGGATTGATGGATAAAGATAGAAATGTTAAAAGCAGGTGGGGATATAGTTTTGGAGTGGTTGGTGCAATTATTTAATAAATGTATGGAAGAGGGTAAGGTACCTAGGGATTGGCAGAGAGCATGCATAGTTCCTTTGTATAAAGGCAAAGGGGATAAAAGAGAGTGCAAAAATTATAGGGGGATAAGTCTGTTGAGTAAAACCTGGTAAAGTGTATGGTAGAGTTATTATTGAAAGAATTAAGAGTAAGACGGAGAATAGGATAGCAGATGAACAAGGAGGCTTTAGGAAAGGTAGGGGGTGTGTGGACCAGGCGTTTACAGTGAAACATATAAGTTGAACAGTATTTAGATAAGGCTAAAGAGGTCTTTGTGGCATTTATGGATTTGGAAAAGGCGTATGACAGGGTGGATGGGGGCAATGTGGCAGATGTTGCAGGTGTATGGTGTAGGAGGTAGGTTACTGAAAGCAGTGAAGAGATTTTACGAGGATAGTGAGGCTCAAGTTAGAGTATGTAGGAAAGAGGGAAATTATTTCCCAGTAAAAGTAGGCCTTAGACAAGGATGTGTGATGTCACCGTGGTTGTTTAATATATTTATAGATGGGGTTGTAAGAGAAGTGAATGCGAGGGTCTTGCAAGAGGCGTGGAGTTAAAAGATAAAGAATCACACATAAAGTGGGAGTTGTCACAGTTGCTCTTTGCTGATGACACTGTGCTCTTGGAGATTCTGAAGAGAAGTTGCAGAGATTGGTGGATGAATCTGGTAGGGTGTGCAAAAGAAGAAAATTAAAGGTGAATACAGGAAAGAGTAAGGTTATGAGGATAACAAAAAGATTAGGTGATGAAAGATTGGATATCAGATTGGAGGGAGAGAGTATGGAGGAGGTGAATGTATTCAGATATTTGGGAGTGGACGTGTCAGCGGATGGGTCTATGAAAGATGAAGTGAATCATAGAATTGATGAGGGGAAAAGGGTGAGTGGTGCACTTAGGAGTCTGTGGAGACAAAGAACTTGTCCTTGGAGGCAAAGAGGGGAATGTATGAGAGTATAGTTTTACCAACGCTCTTATATGGGTGTGAAGCATGGGTGATGAATGTTGCAGCGAGGAGAAGGCTGGAGGCAGTGGAGATGTCATGTCTGAGGGCAATGTGTGGTGTGAATATAATGCAGAGAATTCGTAGTTTGGAAGTTAGGAGGAGGTGCGGGATTACCAAAACTGTTGTCCAGAGGGCTGAGGAAGGGTTGTTGAGGTGGTTCGGACATGTAGAGAGAATGGAGCGAAACAGAGTGACTTCAAGAGTGTATCAGTCTGTAGTGGAAGGAAGGCGGGGTAGGGGTTGGCCTAGGAAAGGTTGGAGGGAGGGGGTAAAGGAGGTTTTGTGTGCGAGGGGCTTGGACTTCCAGCAGGCATGCGTGAGCGTGTTTGATAGGAGTGAATGGAGACAAATGGTTTTTAATACTTGACGTGCTGTTGGAGTGTGAGCAAAGTAACATTTATGAAGGGGTTCAGGGAAACTGGCAGGCCGGACTGAGTCCTGGAGATGGGAAGTACAGTGCCTACACTCTGAAGGAGGGGTGTTAATGTTGCAGTTTAAAAACTGTAGTGTAAAGCACCCTTCTGGCAAGACAGTGATGGAGTGAATGATGGTGAAAGTTTTTCTTTTTTGGGCCACCCTGCCTTGGTGGGAATCGGCCAGTGTGATAATAATAATAAATAATTCAAAAATTTATAAATTTTATTTTTGTAAAGTTTACAATGTGAGGTTTACATATCACAAAATATAAAGTACACAGAAAGCCACTAGCATGCCTAGGCATTTTGTTCAGACTAATCCTAATCATTACAAAATACAATAAGTAATTTGTTTTTCACAATCCTTTTGTTAGCATTTTGGACATATCTCTTTACATGTTCTAACTGCATTCAGTGAAATTCTAGTTTTTATTTTCTCTTGAGGGAGGGGGTGGTAAACAAAACAAAAGAAACAAGGTACTGTAAAAGGAAATTCTTTTTTTTCTTTTCTTTCTTTGTTAGGTTTATGAGGGCCACTGACAGCATAAGCTGTATCAAGCCCGACTTCTCGATGGTACGAGGAAAAATTGTTGCCCAAGGCTGGGCGATGAGAGAAAAGGAACAAAAGTTCCTTTGTAAATAGAAATAAAAACTCGAAGTTTCCAATTAGATCCGGTGGACCCCCTTGCCAAGCCCCAGCAGAGCAGGACACTCACACCCCAAACTGAGTTCAGTAACCAGTTTACCACCAAAGACCGTTAAAGAATTTTCCGCAGAACGGAAAAAATGGAGCTGGCTAAAGTAAGCCAATGAACAGGTCCCCCTCCTGTAGAGTGCCCGGCGGGCAAAATAGATGAGGGCAAGCGTCCCAGAGAGAACGGTGGAAATTTGTCACTGATACACAGGCGAGAGAGAGACGTTGGCACCCGACGAAGGCTGGTGTAGCTAAAAGGAAATTGTCATTTCATGATTGATTTATAACCAATAAGTATGAACATATCACACATGCACCGAAATAACATTTACAAAAAAAGTTATGCAATTAATAAACAAACAACCCTAAAGAAAATTAAGAAAATGTTAGTGTGACTGTAAAGCTTTGTCATCCTCATCAAACAGTTCACTTTGTTACATTATGTTGATTTATAGTGTTAACTTGTCTTCTTTGGTCTAGGTCCTTGTCGAGATGTGCCCAGGACTTGTACTGGAAAAGCACGTTCTGAGTGCTGAACAACTTGCAGCTCACTCATCTACTGTGTATGCTTGGCCACCAGCAGACATCTACACAGCATTACTTGGCAGTGGTATTCGTGCATCACTTATCAATCCAATAACTGAGAAAGAAGAGACATTCACTCAGTTAGTTTGCTTTGGATCCCAAGATGTAAGTTTTTTAGCTTTTATACAATACTAGTCACGGCACTATGTCGCCCCTCCCCACACATGTACCAAAACACAAACACATACCATGAAAGATTATAATATATATACTTGCACACTTGCTGAGGTTTTAATACTTGGTGCTGTGTCCTATACACTTAATCACATCCCTCAGCCATTTAGGAAGACTCTCGCACAAATTCTTGAGGGTTTGGGGAGGTATATTATTCCATGCCTCATGTAGAGCAGCCTCCAGCTGCAGGATGGAATGCAACATACAGGGTTATAAGCTATTCCATACTGATAGGGTCAATAGGAAAGGTGGTGGAGTGGCGATGTATGTCAGAGATAATTTAAATTGTTGTGTTAGACAAGATGTAAGATTGGAAACATTGGACACAAAATCTGTTTGGCTACAGTTTCTCAAAGGTCATGAAAAGTTAATTTTGGGTGTGATTGACAGACCCCCAAACCTTGATAGAGAGTGCAATAAGCTGTTATGGGACAAAATTCATAAGGCATCTAGATATAAAAATGTTGTGTTAATGGGAGAGTTTAACTTTAGACAAATTGATTGGAACAGTGTGACAGGAAATCTTGAGTCTAGTGACTTTCTTGATACGGTTCAGGATTGTTTTTTAAAACAGTTTGTGACAGAACCAACTAGAGGAAACAACCTGCTTGACTTCATTCTTGCCAACAAAGAATCACTAATTAACCCTTAAACTGTCCAAATGTAGATCTACGTTCGCCTGCGTGGCACTCCGAATATTTTGAAAAATAAAAAAATCATTTTTTGTTTTTAAATTAAAGATGGGTATTTTCTCTGTGGTATAAGACCAAAAAAAAAATTTAGGAAAATTTTGTTTTTTACCGATTGGCCAAAATTTTTTTTAAACAGGTGCCCAAACCTGAGGAAAAAACCTTTTGACTTCAATTTTCCCAAAAAATTCCTTTTCCCTTTTTTTTCTTTTTTTTTTTTTTTAAAAAAAATAAAAAAAATTTTTTTTTTTAAATTAAAATTTTTTTCTTGGTTTAAGCCAAAAAAATTTTGGCCCTATTTTTTTAAACCCAAGAATTTTAAAAATCTGAATTTAAACCTTCTGGAGGGTTTTGACGGCAAATTTCCCTTTGCGGGAAGGGGTTTTCCTTTTCCTTTTTTTTTTCTTTTTAAAAAAAAGGGTTTTTGAAAATTCTTTTTGCCTTGTTTTTTTTCCCAAAACTTTGTTTTCTGACTCTTTATTGGCCCCCACCAAGTTTTGACATCTGTGTTCCTTCCCTTATCGGGTTTTTTTGCTTCGTTGCCCCCTGGGAGGGGAATAAACCCCTTTTAAAAATTGTTTTATCGCAAAAAAAGTCTTTGATGTTTTTGCCGGGCGGAGGGGAAGGGGGCCTTTTAAAATTGTTTTTTTTCTTCCAAAAAATTTATCTCTTTTTCAGTTTGTCCAGTCGCTTCTTTTCTTTCTGTCTTTCGGGTTGGGGCCTGGTTGTTAAATTGCCCCTTAATTTTTTTTTTAACTGTCCTGCCTTTGTGTGTCCTGTTTTTAAGGGGCCTTGCCTTTTAGGGCCCCAAAAATTTTGGTTTGGGTTTTTTTGTATTTTGGGCCGTTTTCCAAAAATTTGCTGAGCGTTAACGAAACGGCTGTTCTTGGGTCTGTTTATTTTGTCTTTTCTAGGGAGGGGAAAAGGTTTTGTGGGGAAGGGGGAGTAAAAGTACTCGTTTATTGCCTGGTTTTTGTTTAAGGGTAGGGAAAAATTTAAAATTGAAAATTTTTTTCCCTTAAGTAAAATAGTTTCATGCCGGCTACTTTTTAAGGGTTTTAGGGTAAGTAAAAGTTTCCCCTATTCCCCCCTTTTTCCCCCCCCAACCCCCGGAAAGTGATATTTTGGGACTCCGGCTGCTTTTAAAGGGGAGGGTCAGTCTGGGCCCCTTTCTTTTCCCCCCCCTTCCCCTCCCCCCCCCCCCCCCCCCCCCCCCCCCCCGAAATTTTGACTGGGGGGTTTGGGGCCCCAAACAGAAATCCTTTTTGACCCCACAGCCCCCAGCCAAACGAAAAGTAAAAGCCTCCCTGGTTTTCCCGGGGAAATTTTTTGGGTTTGAAAGCTTCACCTTTTGACCAATAAAAAAATTTTTAGTCCTTTCAGTCTTGCCTAGGTTAACGGTTTTTTAATAATCCCCCAATTTTTTTAAAGTTTGTAACTTATCAGGGAGATTGATTTTTTTAAGCAGTGGGAAAACCTGCTATTTTTTCCAGTTTGGGAAGGACAGAGAGGGTCACCTCCCAAATTTCAACGAGCAAAACTGATGGAGATGGCCCTAACGTCCTGAGCCCCCCCCCCCTTTTTGGTTTTTAATTCCCTTTGGGGCACCTGTTGAAATTTGGCGGGGACTTTAACCCCCTCATCTTTGGGGCAGGGGTAAAAAACCTGTTTTTCCCTGTCATCGGGTTTGAATACTCAAGGTTTAAATGTGAAAAAACGAACCGGGGGGTTTTTGAAACCCCAAACACCTGCGCCCCCCCCCCCCCATCATCAGCAACTGCAAACCTTTTTTCAACAACATCAGTGTCCCCAAACACCAACCCCTTTTTTTTTTATATTAAGCGTTGAATTCAGTTATCATTTATTTTTTTCTTTTTTTCATTTTTTTTTTAATTTTAGGTTTAAATATTTCATTTTTAAGGATTTAAAATTTTCTAAAAAATTAAATTTGTTTATTTTTGTCTGTTATTATTTCTTTTTCTTTTTCACTAATTTTCCTGAGGGGGACCACCGGGTTTAAAAATGTCTGAAGTTTTTTACAGGGCTGAGAAAAGCCTTCACAAGTGGCGCCCTTTCCCAAAGGATCAACCGACTGAAAAAGATTAAAACCCCAATCTCGAATCTCCCCATTGGAACTTCAACGCCAAATACCACAAGGGTTTAAACCCCCAAAGCCATGAGAAAACCCCCCTCAAAGGTAGGATACGTACAGGTATTTAAAAGATTTGGTGATTGTTATAGTCTCAATTTTTTGTAAGCAAGTAAAGGGCGGGGAATACTAGTTAATTCGCCAACTATTTTTTGGGTGAACTTAAAACCATTTTGGGAAAGGTTTAGACTCTGGGGGCCCCCGAGTTTTTCCCAGTGAAAATTTTGTTTAATTGAGCTCTTTATTTATAAAGGGGGAACTTTTAAGGGGCACTTTTGATTTGTTGGTGAAAAAAGTTTGGGGATGGTCAAGTAAACCCCTTTTAACTTACTGTTTTTTGGGAAAGGGCATAAAACCCCTTTCTTTTTAAAAATTTAATACATTTTTTTAAAATTTGAAGTGGGTTTCGAGCCCTTGGTTTTTTTAACAGTTTGGCGGACCCAAAATTGAACCCCCCGTTTTCTTTAATCCCCATTTAAATTTCCCCCGTGTTTAAGTTTTCTTGCAAGTAAAGATGAATCCTTTTTTTGGGGATAATGCGGGAAAGGGTAATTTTGGGAAAAAACGGGGGAAAAATTTAGAATTTTTCATTATGCTAAGACCCCGGGGGAAAGACTTGAAAGAGAGAAAATTTGGGAAAAGAAAAAAAGACAAAAAGGGGAAAAGAGAAGGGAAAAGGAAAAGAGAGAAAAAATAAAAAGGAGAAAAAAAAAAGGAAAGAAGAGAGAAATTAAAGAGAAGAAAAAAGGAAAAGAGAAAAAACCCAAAAAGGGAGTTAGAAAGAGAGAGAGGGGAAGCCCAAAAAGGAGGGGTTTGTTTTGACTGAGGAGAGAGCTAGAGTACGGGGAAGAACATTAAATTAAGAAAAAATTGAGGAAAAAGCAAAGGAAAAGAGTTTTTTGGGGAAAAAAGCAGAAAAAACAGGGATTTAAATATGGGAGAGAAAAAAGATCGCGAGCTGGGAAAAAATTGGGCCTTAATTAAGAATAAAAAGTTAACTTTTACACAACAACAATTAGGGGAAAAGGAGTAAGGGAACCCAATTTGCAGCATGCACATTTTCCCCCAAACACCTAATTTACCTCCCTTCAAAGGGGGGAAGACATAACTTCTTTACTTTATCAGGTTTAAAAAATACTGCTACCCTCTGTGAAGGGCCCTGGGGACACCTGGGCAAACGGGAAAGGAATGTTTTTTTCTGGAAACACCTTGAATATTTATGAAACCCTTTGTCGCGGGAAATATATTAATTATAAACTTTGATAAAGGCAACCCTTTTAAAGCATATAAAAAAAAACCAAAAATTTCCCTTACAGGAAAAATTTCAGGTACCCCACCTTAAGCCTGGCCAAACTTTCAGCATTTACAGGTAACCCCCTCTTTTCATTTGTTCGATTTTTTTGGTTAGAGGGGTTCAGGAATTGTTCAAGTTATGAATCTCTTAGGACTTCTGGTTGCTGCCCATTCCCTGACAGCTTTCCCCATCGAAAACAAACATTCTTTCAGAAAACGTAACCTGTTTAAAAAGCTGGGGAATTTTGCTGAGGCTGCTGCCCTGTATGCTGAGGCCAAAATTTCCCTATGAAGAAAAAAAGGGGGGCCCGCCCCCCTTTGGGGGAAAAGGGTTCATCAGCCCTTTTAAAAAATCAAAGCCTCTAGTGGAAAGAAAAAAATTACTTTTTTTTTTCCCTTTTTTGTCATTTGTTTGGTGTTTGGGGAATAAACGTCCAGATTGTCCTTTTAAGAAGGTCCAAAAAATTTGGGAAGTTTTTTTAAAGACGAAAAGGCCCAAAACACCCTTTTCAGGAAAAGGTTTTAAAGGGCTTATGTTTACCATTTTACGAGGGCACTGGATGCAATGTATTGTATTTTGATAAGCTGTTTCCCCAAAACCCTTTAAAGTACTCATTCCCTGTATACTTTCGATACTTGGGGCCCTACGGACACTTTTTTTACATCCCTTGGTTTAAAAAAAGGTTTTAAATGGGGAAGGTTGGTTCCGAAGCCGTACTACTCCCATATTCTTGCTCCGTACTAATAGGGAATGGAAAAAAGGGGCCCTTTCTTCCTTTTGAGGTTGCCTTTCATCACCA